CACCCAAAGCTTCCCTGGAAACCCAGGGTCTGCACCAGCGCTGCCGAGACTGGGGAACAAGGCCAAGCCTCCACGCCTCGGCCTGGGGCCAGCACCTGGGGATGAAGATGGCGATGAGTGGCCCAACACGAAGGGGATGAGTCCATGCTGTCTTTCCCAGCCTGGTGGCGGGGAGTATGGCAAAGCAGGGCTCAGCAGGTGCTCAGGGAACAGTGGTGCTGCTGGAACCTCAGAGGGGACTTGTGTGCCGGTGTGCCCTGCACACTCACCGTTATACTCAGAGTCTGGCGCCGCGTGCTGAATTCATTGGCTTCTTCATAGGTTTTTCCACTGCAACGACTCAAATCTCCACTCACTTCCCAAACTCCTGCAGTGGAAGGGAGGAGGAGGGCATCAGGCACGGCTGGGGCAGGGAGAGCCCACGGCACAATGCCCGCTGCTGGCTGCACTCACCTTGTGCCGTTCTCTCACCAGAACGAAGTGAACTTCTTGCCGAAAGCTGACACCGCTGTGGGGAAGCCAGGACAGGTGTCAGGATGGTGTAGTGACCCTGGTCCCCCACTTCCCTGGGCCCCAAACTGTGGGAGCACGGCATCCCACTGGCTGCACCCAGCCATCCCCAAGGTGCCCGACTGTCTCGGTGCAGAAGAGCACCATCGCCCTGTCCCCATCCCAGGAGCAGCCCTCACCTTCAGTTAGTTTGCCTGCTTGTTCCGCTGCCCCCCCTGGCAGGATTTTGGAGAAGACACTCTCTCCTTCCCCGCCGGGCTGCCCTGTGGCCATGCCCGCGGGACCACGTGGCCCAGCCGCCCTTGGACCGGCCTTGCTGTCTGCTGGGGGACAAATGAAGCCACTGTTAGCAGGGGACAGGCCCGGCTGGGAGAGCGCAGCAAACTTTGGGGTGCCAGGCAGCTGGCATGAGGTGGGACAGATGGCACAGTGCCACTGGGGCTCACTGACCTGCTGCTCCCAGGGGCTGTGCTGATGGTGCTCTCCCCGGCTGCTGTGGCACTTTTGCTGCAGGTTTGGACGTGTCTGTCGGCTCCACTTTTGTCTGGAAAGGAGAAAACAGCTCTCAGGGCTCACCCTCCCAATAGAGCATCTGCCAGGGGTGGCACAGTCTGGGAGGTGACACTGAAACCCCCAAACACTGCTCCACAACCCCAGAAGACGAGCAAAGCATCCAGGACACAGTGATGTCCCCTCCTGGGTCCCCTCGAGGGGATGGCAGCTTCCACAGCACCTATGGGTGTCTGTATTGGGGGTGTGAGTGGGATACACTTTACTCCATGGCTCCCATTCCCAACACTTCCCCTGCCAGCCCCTGGCCGCAGCCAGCTGTGCCGATTCCAGGCAGAGCTGTGGGGTCAGGATGCAGCCTGGCCAGCTAAGCCCGTACTTACCGCCGGTGCTGGGTGCCCGCCCGGCTGTGCATGGA